AAGCCTCCTGACAGCCACTAGACAGATCCTCTTTCTTCACTGCTTCTTTTCTACCAAGAAATGGAGGGGAGACTGAGAGGCCCACTCAGTCTGTGAGACCGAGAGAAAACAGAGGAGCCTTTACGTGGCCAGAGACACCCAGTGCACCTCGCACTTCACACCCAAGGACATAGGGGCTAACTCTTCTGTGGCATTTGCTCTCAGAAGCAGCCTGGACAACCTGGATGGAAGTCATCGTTAATACGTTTGCACAAATAACAAATAACCTCAGCACCTCTGTGACTATGAAAGAGAACAGAAGGCTACCACCTCGCAGGCTGTAAGGAACCTAATTTAATAATGCTTCATGTGGATAAGGTTATTTTCTTACGTTGCTGATGTTCTGAGCGTTGACTCTGGACTGCAGCATGTCAGGTGTGTCGGAAGGCAAGCAAATCTGCGTCTTGTCTTTGTCCCAGGCCTCACGATACAGGCGCTAAAGAGGAAGGAAGCATAAGGACATTTCACTGCACACTGAGCACTCACAAAACGCAAACAGAGGAACTCTGTGGTAATGCCAATTTGCACTTCTTTCAACTTGGGCAATTTCACAGTAAAGACTTTATTCTTTCCACAGCTTGCTTTGAACAGAACTGTTGGGTCTACCACAGACACAAGGAAAGTAAAAAGGCACTGCATAAAATGGAAGGCACAGGAAAAATGAGCTTACGTGGCTGAGCTGCAGAGCATTGATCTTGGCCTGGACAACATCTGGCGAGTCCGTAACGCTGGTGAACTTCAACGCGTCCGGCCGTGTGCGATACAACCTGTCGTTCAGGAGCTCCTGGGCTCTCTTGGCTTTGAGCACGTCCACAGATCCTTCGGTCAGCCAGCCAATGCCACGCAACCACTCCAGGTCGGACTTGTACACGTTCTGCAAACAAACCAGGGGTCACAGCCATTGCAGCAAGAACAGCAGGCGCAGGGAGGGCCTGGGCAACACTTTCCCCACGCTGCTCGTCCCAGTACTTTTGCTGGCATATCGGGCCCTCTGCATGCTCACATATACCCCATGCTTGCATAGCAAGGAAATCAATGGCCTTTTGAATATATATGCTATATGCAAATAAATGTCAGAATTCCACAAGTTACATATTTTATAAAAACCAAAAATAACAGACACGTCCACTGGTGGAGGTAATGCCGGTAGTCGACATCACTGACTAGTGCCTGCCCTTCCTTGGCTGCCTGCAAGGACATCATGTCCACTGGAATGTGCACGTGGGACTTGGAATCGTTGTAGGCCTTGCGGTAGATTCGGTCGTTCTGCAGTTGCATCACGCGTGCAGCCCACGACAGCTTGGGGTCCTCCTTTGCAGTGCGGCACCCAATGTAGTGCCCCTTCTGCTTCTCATGCGTTTCCTTGTACTTGTACTGAGAAATGTAAAACATGGTATTACAGAAAATAGTGGATCTGCAATGACTTTTTTATTATTTCACATTCTCCTGATCACTAATGGAGTGAAATATAACTATAATATAACTAAACTGAAATATAACTAAAGTTATATTTATTCAGAAATATTTAATATATTCTTGCTCTTTAGTACCGTTAGATTGTATAGAACAGTATTACTCTCTAAATCCAGACTAACGGCAGTGATTGCATTGCAATGTTAGCTCTGGAAATTGTGCTTTATCATGAACCTCATTCTACTTAAAACCTTCTAAGAGAAATTTGATTTTTCATAGATATTTACGTAATGTAGCTTGTTACTTTATTTCCATTCCACATACTGACTAAAAATGAATGCAGAAGTACATACATCACTTGCAATATCTCTTGATGCCTTTGCACTTCGGATCGGAATTGCATCAGCTCTCATATCATAACCCTTCTTTTTGGCTTCATCCCAGGCTTGTGTATAATGTTTCTACAAAAAAAATAGGGAAAACACCTGCTTAACATTCAGAAAGATGCAATTTAGTTATTTTTTTCTTACAAATGTCCTTAGAAGATATTTTAAAAGGAGATCTCTATGGTTAAGGAAATGCTTACTTTTCTCTGAATTTCAATTATTTTGCTATATATTTAAATGCTCTTACATGGCTAATATTAGCTGCATTGGCCCTTGCCAACAGAAATTCTGGTGTATCAGGCGTGATGTGAATTGAGGTTTTGTCAGCATCCCAGGCTTCCGTGTATAATCGCTAGAAAAGAAGAAAACACATTGCTTTAAAAAGTTTCTTTATGTGTAATACGATAAAATCAAATAATATATTATATAATAGTATATACATACAAAAACAAAAGAAAATTAAAGACAAAACTTACCTTGTTTATTATCTCAGCATTATGCTTAGCTAAGACCATAGCCAAAGAATCTGTCACACTAGTAAATTTAATCTGGTCCGGTGGCTGACGATACTTCCTTTCACTCAGGATTTCTCCAGCTTTCTTGACTTTCTCGATGTCCACGGAACCGATAGGAACCCATCCAATTCCCCTTAGCCATTCAAGGTCTGATTTGTAAACAGCCTGAAATTTTTTGAAAGTTCATCAGCTATGTACAGATGTGATCAAATATTAAAACAATTGTGAATATGCACAGAATGGCTGGCATACAATTTGCTATCTCTCTATACATTATTTCATATATTTCTAGTACAGTATTAATTTTATATATTTTATATTTTTTGTGTATCTTTTAAAATTACTTTGTACAAGACAATAAATTTCCTGATGTATTACAAGTTTAACAATTCACTCACATCACTCTGTAGATCATAGGCCTTCTTAGCATGGATAACATCATTCTGGTCTGGCAGACAGATCCACTGATGCAGATAGTGGCGGTAATCCACATCGCTGACCAGCTCCTGGCATTTCTTTGCCAACACAATTCCCAGCATGTCCACTGGGCTGCTGAAGTGGGTCTTGGTCTTCTCAAAGGCCTTCTTGTACTCCCGGTCACTCTGGACCTTGGCTACGTGCATGGACCACATCATCTTCGGGTCGTCCTGTATGTTGCGCGCTCCAATATGGTGGCCAAGCTGCTTCCGGTAACCTTCCTTGTACTTGTACTGCAATAAAGTACATTTACATTCCCTTAGTACAATTTTCAATCAAAAATAGTACATACAGTTTAGCATAATCAGCAATATTTTGTTATAGATTTTTCTATAATTGTTTCATACATTCAATTAATTAAATATTTAATGTCACATACTTCCCATTCCAAATCCCTTCAAATATTAAGATTAAAATATAAAAGTTAACATTTTTAAACGTTTATCACAAAACACATTCACAAAGCTAACCTTTACTGATCACTGAACAATCCCCAGGAATGCTATCCTCTAACTCTCGATGATGTATGCTCAGTTTGAAGTAAAACCTGGCACAATCACTGTGTATTTTTACTTCTGTGTTCAGCCACCATTAATTTCAGTAAGACATTGCATCAAAACTATTTTTCTTTAGAAAAGACAACAGTTTAGAATTTCTAACACTAATTTACTAATGTATTTATTTTAGGGAGAGATTTTTAAAGCATTTATTTCCTCTTTTGAATCAGAAGTGAACTTAATTAACCCCAACATAGAATCATATGCCTGACTGAGCATCCTATTGAGCATCCCAAGGGCATCAGTTAAAACACCTGAATAGGCACAGAATTGATTATCAGGCTCTTTTTCTTATTTATTACTGCAATACACTTCATATATTTTGCAGGTTCCTTCATATATACTTCATACATAAAAAATAAAGGCTGCTTGTTCTTTTTGTACACTAAAGGCACACAGTAGAGTCAGTAGATTATCATGTATTCTATATTTGAATACATTATCATGTATTCTATAAATGCAAGATGTTACATTAGAAACAATGGAACTAAAATTTTGATCATCTTGCATTACTAAAACCACACAGACATGATAAAAACACTGCTTACATCACTGGCAATCTCTCTGGATGCTTTGGCAGCTTGGATAGGAATAGCATCAAAACGCAAGTCATGACCCTTCTTCTTTGATTCCTCCAAAGCCAGTCTGTACATTTTCTGTTAAAAGAAAATAATATTTTTATTTTAAAAATCAGAAAATATGCCCACTTCAGTTAAGTACAATTAAGTTAAAAAAGTCCCTGAATGATATTGTTAATGCTCAGATACCTTAGAAGCTTGAACATGGCTCTACCTTCTCTAAAACATTATGAAATACAGATTCCAGAGATCTTGTTATTATATGGTAGATGCTTAGAAAGTGGAAATAATTTGGGTAAGGGAAAGAAAGGAATATTCTAATGTTTAAATTATTTATTTCCATGTCTTGCTGTGGGAAAAACTTCTAGTCTACTATAATTTATTAATATACTTTAAAACCCAAATTAGATTCCTAGGAGTTAATGTACAGCAAAAGAACAACCTTGATTTTTGCAGCAGATTTACCTACTTGTGAAGCTAAACAGTTTGACAACATTATAATAGTATTTGAAAAGCCAGATATGACAATATTGTACTTCTCAGAGATCATTTAATCCTTTCAGGTCTTGAGATTACTCACCTGACTGTAGTGTATTTGGTTTTGCTTAGACAGTAGGATTTCTGGTGTGTCAGGCATAACATGAATCACAGTCTTATCTTTATTCCACGCTTCAGTGTATAAACGCTAGAAAACATACAGGAAGAGATTAATGCTGCTTTCCAGTATATGTTGAGTATTTGTAAAACAGGTAGAACACAGAGGAAAAATTACAGGACACACAGCTGCAATTAATGCTTATATATTTATTCAGGTAGACGTAACATTATAATAAAATAGAATGTATCTCAGAAAAGACCCCAACATCTAAAAAATTGATGCTTTATCTTAGAAGGAATAAACTAAAGCATTATTAGCGCACTGGTAATCTTTATATTTCTAGTCCTCTTTCTAGTCTCTAAGGTATAGCTGGAGAGTGAGAATATGTTTTTTAACAAACTAAGACTCACCTTATTCATTGTCTCTGCATTATGCTTGGCTAAGACCATCTCCAGGGAATCAGTGACACTAGTGAACTTAATGGTGTCGGGAGGCTGACGGTATACTTTGTCACTCAAGATCTCTGCTGCTTTCTTGGCTTTTACAACATTCAAGGAACCAATGGGCACCCAGCCAATGCCTCGCAACCATTCAAGGTCTGACTTGTAATAATTCTATTACAAAAAAAAAGTTATTATATTAGTAATTATCATTTCTCTTAACAAATTAGTCAGTGCCTCTTTTCACAACTATATTAGTTATCTCAATATTACTTACATAATTCAAATTATATTATATAATATTCAATAAATCCCACAGAAAATCTCAGAAAAAATGCTGCCTTTTCCCTGGATTCACAGTGAAGCCTTATTTCTAAGTTGCGCACAATGGCAAATGATAAATAGACCAAATTTAGGAATTAGGTAACTTCATTTAAATATTAACCAGTCAGTATATCCTACGGGAGTTCTAAGTGGCAAGTACCACCAGAAAATAAAAATAAGCCTTGAAAGTTTGGTTCGACTACATTTGTATGTGATGGCATATTCCACCAATGTGATATATTAAACGTGTTTCTCCCCCAGAATAACATCAGAAGGCACTCACATCACTCTGTAGATCGTAGGCCTTCTTAGCATGGATAACATCATTCTGGTCTGGCAGACAAGTCCACTGATGCAGATAGTGGCGGTAATCCACATCGCTGACCAGCTCCTGGCATTTCTTTGCCAACACAATTCCCAGCATGTCCACTGGGCTGCTGAAGTGGGTCTTGGTCTTCTCAAAGGCCTTCTTGTACTCCCGGTCACTCTGGACCTTGGCTACGTGCATGGACCACATCATCTTCGGGTCATCCTGTATGTTGCGCGCTCCAATATGGTGGCCAAGCTGCTTGCGATAACCTTCCTTGTACTTGTACTGAAATATAAATCAAAATATTATATTACTTTCACTATATACATCTCACCACAGCTTTCTATAATCTAGTCATCAAAAAATTAAAACAATTTTTGAGCTAAAAACATGGATTCTTGTATCATATTCCTGGGATTTTAATAAGAGCCCTAACAATAAATTCTGAAAAAAGTCACTTCTTTCTAGTTTTAGTGAGAAATCATTCCAATTTACAGACTGTAATCCAGATTGCATTTTTAATGATTTTTTGTTAAAAAACAGATTTGCATGCTAAAACATTTAATTAAAACATTTAATATGCACTGTAATGTCCAAATAACTTCAACTCATTTATTTTTTACATTCATATAGTCAAATATGTATAGCAACTCACTTTTCAATACAAATATCTACTGAAATGACTTTTATAGAATCCATCTAATAGGTTTCAGATATCAAGATCAGATACCAATATACAAAGAAACAGTTACTTACATCACTGGCAATTTCTCTTGATGCTTTGGCAGCTTGAATGGGGATGGCATCTCCTCGCAAGTCATGGCCTTTCTTTTTTGCTTCTTCCATGGCATGTTTATAAAATTTCTATGTGAGGAATTAAACAATGTGATTCTTGGAACTAAACTCCATATATTGCATACTCTGCAAAACTGATTGCTGGTCAGCACAGTAGCTAGAAAACTGTTGAGATTTATTCTAACCTAATTTTACCTGTCTTTCTCAATGCAAAGGCCCAGATCATTAGTGGACATGAATTTATACCAAATTAAGATCTTTGCCAAATATTCTTGCTAACAACTTCTCTTTTTCCTTTTAATTCTGTAACTAAAACAAAATATAATTTAACAATAAATTATTTCTCTAAGTGGATTAAAACTTGTTCTTAAAAATCACTTTAATTCATGAGAATTTATTTGCCTAAACTAACACTGAACACCAGGATCACTAGTCTTCAGAACTGTTATGGAAATAGATTTTTTGTTATTTCCAATGCTGGAATAAATTTTGCACCAACAAAATGCAGAATAGCAAAAAGGACTCAAAAATTCCCTGGAGATATACAACATCTCAGAGTGTGCTCTAAACACTTTTCACCAGCGTATGCATAGACTGCTGTATCAAAATGCAAACAACATCTTTAAAGCTAGTATTCCGAGGATCATTATTAGGGGCTAAATTAAAAAAAAGCTTTATCAGGTTTATCAAAATACTGATGATCCAGGACTGGTAAAAACTGGATATATTTGGAGAGCAAATACACTCACCTCACTGTAGTTTAGCATGTTCTGTTTGGCCAGCGTGATTTCAGGTGTGTCAGGCATTATGTGGATCTGTGTCTTGTCTTTATCCCAGGCCTCAGTGTATAAACGCTGTGAGAGAAATGACATATGTTAAAAAAAGAAAAGGAAAAAAAATGATTAGCTGTAATTTATCTCTAGATTAAGATTCTTCAGTGAAGAAGGGCTTCTCTTAAACAAAAAAAAGGGGAGGGGGGGATTAGAATAAGGTTTTCCATGGAATGCTAATCAGATACGTATAGATCTAAGATCTAATGACAAGGCCTGATCCAAAGAGAAAATAGTTTTATCAGCATAAATAGGATTGAGAATAGGCCATAGATTCCAAAAAGTTCTTAAATATAAGTGATATCTTCCACTATTTTAAAACACAGATATTTCAAAGATGGCTCCAAAACAATTAGAGCATTAGTTGCTAGATTACTGGATAAATTTGATATATAGTAGATTACATTAGAGAAACAGCTAAATTCCTATATAAATTATTAGACAAAAATGATTACTACATAAATATTGGAATATGTGCAAAGGTTCACATTAATCGATAATTACAAATTAACTTGGTACCCTAGAACTGGTTATTAAATTAGCACAGGCCAGAAATAAGGTACCTACTGATTATCCAAAGTTTAATTTACACTTGAAAAGCTTTGCAGTCCTAAAATTTCATGCAGAAAAGAGGCTCATTTCTACTGCTGTGTCTCTAAGGTTTAACTAGAGAGTGAAATATGTTATTTAACAAACCAAGACTCACCTTATTCATTGTCTCTGCATTATGCTTGGCTAAGACCATCTCCAGGGAATCAGTGACACTAGTGAACTTAATGGTGTCGGGAGGCTGACGGTATACTTTGTCACTCAAGATCTCTGCTGCTTTCTTGGCTTTTACAACATCCAAGGAACCAATGGGCACCCAGCCAATGCCCCGCAACCATTCAAGGTCTGACTTGTAATAATTCTGTTACAAAAACACAGAGGCAATTGTCTCATTAACATTTCAAAAGTCTCATCTAATACATATAAACGGTTACTTACTGTAAATCGCTTCGATCCTAGCTCAATATGTGGGACACTAATTGTTAGCAAACTAGATTCAAATCACAGTCCTTATATTCAACAGGTTCTATTAACAGAACAAAACACTGGGGAACGGTTGAAAAGTAATGGTGGGATTAAAGGCTAAAATCTTAAAATCAGCAGAACCTGACACAGGAAGCTTTATTCCCAGCAAATACACAGGGTCCACTACAAAATGCATGTCCTCACACCATTTTTCTTGGCAGGGAATGAAGGATTTCTGCCCACTACAATTATGCAATTAAAAACGAAGAACTGCCTTCTCTACTTAATATGCAGTTACTCCATACATAAAACTTCATAACAAGCAACCATTATATTTAACAGGTCCACTCATTTCCAACAGTCTTTTAAAACTGCCTTTAAACAGGCAAAGAAAAACAACACCGTGGAGAAAAAATAATCATAAGACAAAATCCAAGGAGCTTCTATAGTTTATATTCCAAGGAAATTATGTATTCTTAGAAGTCAACATTTATTGCTGAGTACTCACATCACTCTGTAGATCGTAGGCCTTCTTAGCATGGATAACATCATTCTGGTCTGGCAGACAAGTCCACTGATGCAGATAGTGGCGGTAATCCACATCGCTGACCAGCTCCTGGCATTTCTTTGCCAACACAATTCCCAGCATGTCCACTGGGCTGCTGAAGTGGGTCTTGGTCTTCTCAAAGGCCTTCTTGTACTCCCGGTCACTCTGGACCTTGGCTACGTGCATGGACCACATCATCTTCGGGTCGTCCTGTATGTTGCGCGCTCCAATATGGTGGCCAAGCTGCTTCCGGTAACCTTCCTTGTACTTGTACTGTGGGTAAAAAAATGTTCAGTGAGATTCACATGGGGTTTCATCATTCATCATGTTCATTTTTAAGAACAGACCCTGTTGCACAATCTGCAAAAGACTTAGGGTCTAAACTCACACAGAATTTAGGGTGAAAAAGCATTCAGCTGATGAACAGCAGTCTGCAGCTAAACAAGAACCATAGTATCCTCTGTCTAATACCACCCTCCTATTTAAAAAGGCATTGCCTGACCTACAAATTAGAATGTAATTCTAAATAAAAATAAGTATGCATGAGTACCCAAATTTCCAAATTCCGACATCAACAGAAAAGAATTAACAGTTCTACTAACTTACCCTATTCTAAACCACATAAAATCAATTAGAAACTCCAAACACTACAGCCAAAAAAGATGATTTCCTTTCTCTACTAACAAAAAGCAAAACAAGAAGATCTTTGGGGCACTAGTACAGAACCGAATACAAATATTAAATAAGTAGAAGTTTTAACATCAATACCTGATTACCAAAGACCCTGATTCATTAAATAAACAAAAATAAATATAATTGACAGAATAACAATGTATACATTTATAATGAAAGTCAATTAAAAACTAGCATTTACAGACAAGATATACTTCATTCCCTTGAAAAAAAATAAAAGAAACTAAAGTTCCTGAACGCTGTATATGAAAAGAAGATACAAAATATCAGCCCAGACCGCAAAAGCGAGCCACTAAGACAGTCCAGGAGAAGAAGAGGGTGTCCCTGCACTTACATCACTTGCTATATCTCTGGAAGCTTTTGCAGCCTTGATAGGAATGGAATCTGCTCGCAGGTCGTGACCCTTCTTCTTCTCTTCCTCCATGGCAAGCTTGTACAGTTTCTGAAAGAAAGCAGGAGCATTGCCCATGTGCCTCCAACAACACAGCCCCCTGGGCCACCAAAGGCCACCACTGGCCATTTAGACCCTGCTGA